CTATTGTCTGAATTTTTCATACTGTATTCATAATCTTCATTTTGCCATTACAGGGTCAATAAACAACATATTGAGCACAAAGCACTTTGGCGCTGGCTGATATTTAAAATGGGATTTCATTAAAATTTCTTCTGCCACTTGCTCACAAAATGTTGTTTCTCTTGAATTGTGGCTCTGTTTTCTCTACAAAATTAGGTTTTTGGGTTTCATTTTTTTACACCGAAGCAGCCGCGCAGGTGAACCTTAGATGCCAAGGCTGCTTTCAGGAGCTTAAAGAGTTATTCCCATTTTTGAAGTGCCTAAAGCTAGTAGAACTGGGAAAATCTCATGTAGATTGTTACACGATCTCGACACCGTCTGGACAAAGGAGCGGTCTTATCGGCCAGTTCTGGATTTACGAAGTTCGACACACTTACGATGGGAGGCCGAGGTCAGGTAGGCACATCGCGGGGCGACACCATGGAAGAGAGCTCTGAGGAGCATAGGCCGTTGGCGTAGCTAGATCGCCAACAGCCCGTCCATTAGAGAAAAGTTCATTAAATGCCTCTTGCGAAGCTATTTTAGTCCTCAAGCTAGTTCCGACATACTCTGATACCTGTCACTGTCACTGGTTCACTGGTGTTCTCTGATCTGTCAGAAGGTTCTGTACGAACAGCGGATTAGCTGTCGGCAAACAGTCAGGAACTGTACGAACAGGTAACATCTCTCTGATTCTGATTTTGACAGTCACCGACTACTGTACGAACAAACCAATAGTAATAAGATTTGTTATCATTGATCTGGTCACCGTCAACGTGATCTGACCAAGAGATACTGATACACTTAATGAAATGCGACCAGGGAGGTCCCGTTTCAGGGCCATTTGGCGTCACTTAAATATTATTTACGCGCGGTTGAATGAAATACGGTATCTGAGGGCCGTATCGTCAGTCGTTATTATTCTAGGACGCCTTTATGAACTCATTGCCTTTCATAGTCGTTTCTCTCGATCAGAAAGGCTGGGGTATTTCTAGATTTCTACTGATCCGTGTCAGCGTCAGCGCTCTCATATTGTGAGGCTATGTCTTCTTTTTGAATTGTCAGAAATTTCAGGCTGATCTAATAGATGATATAAATCAAAGCATGGACATGGCAAATAGATATTTGTAACGTAATCTCAAAATAATGCGCTCACACGAGACAGTATAAGGCTGGAAATAGTGCTGGACCGACGGTCAGCGTTGACGTCGGTCGGTCGTAGCTATATTTATGCAAATGTATGATCGCGTATACTGCTGCGCTGATAATTTGCTACGCGCGTACAGCTGCGTCGGGCTGACGAAAATGGTTGGTCGGGCTCGTCCGTTCGGCGTACGTCGGTCGACCGACGAGCTATGAGAATGTATGAGTGGAAATAGTTCTGAACCGATAGTCAGCGCTGAAAGAACAATCGACAGCACGTGCTTAGATAGTTAGATACAGTGACTGCAAAAATGAATATGAATATTGATACGGAAAGACTTATAACTGAGGTACGCCTTCGTCCATCACTGTGGGATTTGTGTTGTCCATTGTACAAAGACCGGGATGCCAGAATAAAAGCTTGGCAAGAAGTATGCCAGGAACTAATTCCGAATTTCAACGATCAACCCGACAGCGAGAAAAAGACTACAGGTAAGTAAATAAAACATCATCATGGTCGTAAAGTATGATTTCATTAAAAGATACAAGCATTTTGCCACGGTATACAACCATCAGGAGAAACGAAATAGTTGGCAAATTTGTCCCTTATTGCATCACCTGATCTGATATTACTGTTTGCATTATGACGAAGGTCATTAAAGCCTACAATAGTTAGTGTGTCCTGTATTCTGTATCCATCCCGTTCTCGAATGTAATTATGTAAAACGCAACAAGCCTTTATGATTGTTGTGGTATTTGGTAGGGAAGTATTCATTGGTCTGTGAAATATCTTAAATTTATTACTCATTATTCCAAATGTAGACTCAATATACCTCCTAGCACGGCTTAATCTATAATTAAATATGTTTTTCTTATGGGTCAGATTACTGCGTGCATAAGGCCTTAAAACTTTGTTCGATATACCAAAACGGGCATCCCCAATAATCATGTATGGGAGTGGTTCTGTAGTGTGCGGTAGTGGATTTGGTGGAGGCAATATTATTTCTCCGTTTTGTAATTTGGTGAATAATGAACTTCTCCAAAAAATATTTGAATCAGAATCTGTTCCACATGCCCCTACATTCATATAGGTAAAACGATAGTCGGAATCACACATAGCCAACAGGACTACAGAGTAAAATTTTTTATAATTTGAATACAGACTTCCACTATGGTCAGGACAAATTATTCTGACGTGCTTTCCATCTATACAACCGATGCAGTTAGGAAAGTTTGCTACAGTTTCAAAACCGGCAGCTATTTGCAGCCACCCTTCCTGTGTTTTAGGTATCGAAAGACACTCTTCATGCAGTAGAGACCAAATGTTCTTAGACAGAAGAAGAGAGAGAGAGAGAAAACAAGAAGCAAGCACCGTATAAACCACCTGCTTTCACTAATGATGATGCCGATGTGCAGTTTTTGTTGAGTCTATTGCCCGATTTAAAAAAAAAATGACAGACAAGCAGAAAAGAAAATTTAAAGTGGGAGTCCTAAATCTTGCCGGTGAAATCTTGGATGAGCCTGTAGTGTCTCATATTTCTGCACCTCTCTTCTCCCCAACGTCTAGTTATTCATCGCTTGCTGCAGACAGCATACCTTCTACCCGTTCCTCTTCAGCATGTACCAGCTCTATTCGATCTCAATGTGAGACAGCTGATTCGCGGACATATGAAGATATTTCGTTTTCAACAGTACGTCAGACATCCACACAAGCACAAGATACATTATTACCAAATATTCAGTATAATAACCCATTATTACCAGATCATGAATTTGCTTTTTAAGAATAATGTTGTACAATAAGTTTGTATTTGGATAGTAAATATATCTGTATTTATATTTTTTCATTGTACGTACCTCAGTGTTATTATTACGCTTTCTTCGGGAGAAACACATTTCCTGAAGTTCATATCCTTTTTTTGAAGCATGGGCCGTAGTTTAGTCAGTAACTTGCTAAAAGTCTCTTTCTTCATTCGATAGAAAAGTTTAAATTTTTGGTCGTCCAAGTTCAAATCCTTTTTATAAACATTAAAAATTCCAAACTTTTTATTTTTTTGCCACAGCGGATGAACCCAATGCCGTTTTTTCTTCGTCTCCTGACTTATAGCATTTAGATTAACAAGTTGCATAAAGAAAAGGGCATCTTCATCTTCTGAGGACGACATGGTAAACCGGTGACATCAACTGACTTGTTTGCCACTTCAGTGCGCTTTATATCACTTTCATACCACTTCGCCGCTATTCCGATCGCCACGCCAAATTTTACCATCCCTATGCCTCTCACCACTCCAATACCTCACCACTACCACACTACCTCAGTGCGCGCCTTGCCTTAGACCGCCCAGGAACATCACATCCGACTGTCACGATGTTCCCAGCAGTACCTCCTATTCAAACAATTACCAGACCGTAAAATATTCAGCAATTGGATTTGGTAGAGGAACCTGCATCTCAGCAAACTATACAGACTCAAGACTGTGTTTATTCTTTAATAAATTTATAACAACTTACTTGTTCATTTATGGTGCGTGTAAAGGTGGCCCTAGACGGTCAATCATTTTGATCAAATGCTTGAGTCAATCGATTGAGTCAAGCGAGATTGATCGTCTAGGAACCAGTTTGACGCTTGAGCCAAGCATTGACGGTGATTGATAGAAAGTTTGATTGACGGGAGTGCTTGAAGAGGGCGCTTGATCGTCTACGTGGGTTTTGATCAAATTTTTCGTCAGTCACGCACCAGTCAGCAACCATGGAGGGTCCCTCGCTCTCTTCCAACGTTGATGAAATTTCGCAACCAGATCGCGAATTCACTAGCCTACTTATAGATTTGTATAGAGACTGTCCAGAGCTGTGGAAAGTTAAAAGTAAAGACTATTTTAATACAAGTAAAAAAAGTGCAGCATTAGAAAAAATTGTGGGGGCTTTGAAAACGCTGAAACCGGACTACAATGAAAAGAAATTAAAGCAAAAAATTAATAGTTTGAGAACAAATTTCAACAGGGAGTTCAGGTTAATCGAAGCAACAAGACTGTCCGGGGCGTCAGCGGATGACATCCGAGAACCGGCACTGTGGTACTACAACGAACTTTCTTTCATAAAAGATCAGATTGAAGTCGCACCAACAGAAACTTCAGAGGTAAGAAAAATTTTCATCGTATCTACCAACCTTGAAATTATGAATTACAGTAAATACAGTACATACCTATTCTATTTATGGAACCAAATCCTTTTACGGTCTGTAAATACTGTTTATGTAACCTAATTCTTTTGTAACCTTACTGTTTTCCATTCATCATAGGTAAACACAATCATGCAGGATGACTCAAAGAAATGTTTTATTTATTTATTTTTATTTATTTATTACACAATACTATGCTTCTGTTAAGATTTGTTGAATCTAATTATTCAGGTACCTGTTTTGCCATGGCACTGAACCGCAGGTGTTGAAGAATTCGCAAAAGTCATCTCTTATTTTTTTTGCTTCAACTGCCGAGTTGCCTTTGGTTCTTTGAAGTCGTAACATCTCTTGAGTTCCTTGTCTCCATGAACCAAGTTCCACATTAGCCGTAGAAGTATTCTCATTGTATATAGTTTCCACTATTTCTTGAGCACAAGTAGTTGTGTAAATGACAGCATGCCAAAACAATTTTTCTAGCTTTATCTGCTTCAAATTTTATGTCATTTTGAAGTATTTTGAACCTCTTTATTAATATCCCAAACCCATTTTCTACGATTCTCCGTGATCGGGACAATCTATAATTGAAAACCCTTTTTTCATCGATCAAAACAGCTCTGTTGTAGGGCTTCATAAAATTAGGGAGTAGCTGAAAAGCTTCATAACCAATGAAAACAAAAGGAAATTTTTCATTAGTACCTGGTAACCCACGAGAATCAGGCATGTTTAGTTTGTTTTCAGACAACTTGCGCCAAAAAAAACGTGTTCTTCATCACTCCGCCATCTGACACTCGCCCATTCGCTCCGACATCGACCATCATTAATTGATAATTTGCATTAACAATAGCCATAAGCACAATACTATAGAACCCTTTGTAGTTGTAATAATAAGACCCAGAATGGGAGGGTTGTTGGATCCCTACATGTTTGCCATCAACACTCCCTACGCAGTTATGAAAGTTCCATTTTTCTTCAAAATCTTGTGCAACCAGTTTCCATCCCTCTTCAGTTTTTGGAACCTCAAACAAAAAATTGAACATAAAATAATTTTTCATTTATTCAATTATTATTATTTTTTATTTCTCTTTTTTTTAGACACCCTTAACTGAGGACTCTCAGCCAGTACATGGTTCCGGAAGTGCAGCGCTTTCTTCTACTCCAACTGCACCACCTGCTGCCGAATCAACAGTTCATTCTCGAAATAAGAAAAAAAAAGTTCCGCCAGATCCTACTGGACAACTAGTGGGACTGGCTACAGAGTATTTTAAGCGACCTCCGACCGAAGAGGACATACTAGCTAAAGGCTGGGCAATGGAATTGAAAAAGTTACGTCCAGATCAAAGACGCTTTGCAGAAAAAATTATCAATGATGTGCTTTTTGAAGCAGAAATGCGCACCTTGACAAGGGACGGAGTACGTTTTGTTTCGCACCCACTTTGGACACCTTCGCCATCCTCATCGTCACCCTCGCAAACAACTTATCACAATTATCCTATGTCCTCTAACCTACCATACAACATGCCTTCAGCACAAATAAATTACAGTGCATCTTCAAGTGGGACCCCCTCTCCCAACGGAACGATCCCAGCAACACCCATTGAAGAAAATTCGGAGGAAACGAATGCAGCAGAATTTTTCTCAAATTTTTCTTCAATGTAAAATTATGTTGTTATGTATTTTAGTTTTCATTGTAACAGGAAGGTGCCTACTTTTTCTTTAGTACGTATTATAATTTTGGAATTTCATTCTCTATCATATTTTTGAAACATTGCATTTTTATTTTATTAGCTTCATTTTTATTGTACTGACATTTCTGTTTATTTAAATTTCTGTTTTTCAAATTGATATGTGTTAATTAATCGGAATGTAATAACAATACATACCTGAATATTATCTTTTAATGCGTCGATAATTGCTGAGCAAGTTTCCAAAATGATGAGTCCCAGACTCTGAGGAGAAATGGCACACATGAATTTCAGATCTTCCAAATCCATGCCAGAAGCTAGGTATCTCAATGTGATGCTTAGCCTCTGAGTTGCAGGAATCCCTTCTCGCATAACAGTGTCCTTTTTTCTATTTTTGGTCGTACCAAATCCAATAAATGGTAGAAATTTTTTTCATTCATTCTGAGAAAGTTTCTGTAGTCTTCTGGTTCCGTTTCACGTAGAACGTTTATTAAATGTTCGTGAGTAAAGCGGTTTCTCAATTTGTACCATTCCTTTGACCACCTTCGTTTCCTTTTCTTCTTCTGCTTCAGTGCGATCGCTAAAGTCAAGGCGATAAAGCCAATATCTGTATTTGAAACCATTGTTTCAGCCACGAAAAGCACGGTATAAAAATAATACAAACGAACAGCACCAAGTACCACAGCAAAACGTGTTTTGAACAAACGACTAAGGGTTGCTTGAAGCACGCGTCAATCGATTGACTCAAGCATTTGATCAAAATGATTGACCGTCTAGGGCCACCTTAAGGGATTTTGATATACAGTGTGTTATGGGCCTGTGCGTTACACTGCTTGAAGAAAAGCCTGCACGCCAGTAGCACATGTTATTACTTATTAAGGAAAAAACTAAGTACTTACCTTAAAGTTACGGCTAATCTTTCAAAAGGTTGGATAGGAACATGAAACATATTGCAATGTTTCAAATTATCTTGTAACCTTGCTTGTAGTTCGTCGAAACTTCTGATGGACATCTTGAAATACTCAAAAAACTTTTCCTCATCTTCTTGCAATCTCCAAAATAGTTTGCAGAATTCGCCCTCAAGTAACCGTTCCACAAGTATTGGATGTACATGAGATCTTCTTCGCCTCCTTTTATTCCGTCGCGAAAAATAGTTTGCACAAATTAGAGCATTTACAGCAAAAGACATTTTTTTTTGTCCACTGTACATATGCGTCTCCGTTCGCCGTCACCGTAGCACTAAATGCATTTCCACAACCGACGGTCGGCGCTGACGATCATAACGTACCATCTGCGCTGACCGTCGGTCCAGCACTATTTCCAGCCTTAGACTATGAATATCAAGGAGACCATAAAGGCGTCCTACAATTGTAGGAACGACGGACAATACGACTCTTAGTCATCAAATCCTTGTGTTATTAGTGGCCAGTAGCTGGGCCAATAGGAACGGGGAAAAGTACGCGACCGGGCAGTAGCTCATATTTTGACGCTGTATAAATTACATTTGCCTATAGTAAAGGGTGTCTCATAAATATTTTCTTACTTTATGCCATAAATAAAAATACTTGGAATATTTTTACAAAGATAAATTTATTACCAAACGAAAGCCTAAACATTAATTTTATTTATGGAAGAGAGTATCGGATAAATGAGCACCGTTCATGTTTTCACACTCTCTTAATCTCGAACTGAAGTTTTCGATCACTCTCCGAAGCATTGCTCGAGGAATGGCGTTTATTTCATCTGTTATTTTTTGCTTCAACTCTCTCAAATCTTGTGGCGGTGGGGTGTATACCTTACTCTTCAGGTATCCCCATAAGAAAAAATCTGCTGGTGTCAAATCGGGACTTCTCGGTGGCCAGTTAATGTCTCCTCTGCGACTGATGACCCTATCTGGGAATAACTGATGAAGAGCATCCAAGGATTCATTCGTGACATGAGAAGTCGCTCCATCTTGCTGGAAAAACGTGTTTCTATTGTAGCCACCATGGTTCTGTATAGCTGGAGTTAAAAAAGTCCTAATCATGTGGCAGTAGCGCTCTGATGTTACAGTTTGAGCTTGGCCACGATTGTCTTCAAAAAAATACGGGCCAATGATTCCTTGCCCTGACATAGCAGCCCAGACGATAACTTTAGGCGAGTGTAATGGCGTCTCATGAAGATTTTGCGGGTTCTGCTCGGCCCAATATCGGCAGTTTTGTTTATTAACATGCCCGTTAATGTGAAAATTCGATTCATCAGAAAACCATATGTTGTTGTAACCGTTAAAATGCTCTCTCATTGTTCTACAGAACTCTAATCGATTAGCGGGATCTTGTGGTTTTAATTGTTGTGTAACAACAATCTTGTATGGGTGAAAATGCAAATCCTTGCGAATAATGCGATGAACAGTTGACTTATGCAAAGTTAGAGACGCTCCACGCAGTCTTAATGATTGCCGGGGATCCTCGTTAACGGACTGGCGCACACGTTCAATATTTTCGTTCGATCTTGCTGACCTTGGCCGTCCAGGCGGTTTACTAATACACGTGTTTCCAGTGCTCTCGAACTTTCTTACCCAATATTTAATTAAATTTGCGCTTGGGACATCTCTCATTCTTGCTATGTTATAATGATTTCTGTACAAACGACGTACAAGCACATAAGAATCCTTGTTTTTATAGAACTCGCGAACACAAAAAGCACGTTGCGGCCCTGTAAAACGCTCCATTGCAACTAAAATTTAACAATGTTGCCAAACGTTTGTCAACTGTCTCGTTTCTCCGGAGCATGCGTATTCCGCCAGAGGACTGATCTAAAAACGAAAATATTTCTGAGACACCCTTTATATAACACCTTTAAATATTAGCAACACTATCACTTACACACTACAACAAAAAATCGTTGCTAATGTCAGGAATTGAACTCAGTACCTTCAGTATACATGGCAACAATTTAGCAACAATTTATATTTGTTTTTAAAAATCATCGACAGTGATATGCACTTAAATTATATATATGAGGGTTAGTCTTAATGTTAATATAGTAATATTTTCTGTGGAATCGGGCCCACACTCGATTTGACCCACACAGATGTTTGGTATTAAGCTAACTAATTCTATAATGTTTATGGGCATCTGGATATGTTAATTTCACATCCAAATAATAAAATGAGACTTGCAAAGGTAACTAGAACACATAAACGTCCAAAAAACTCGATATTCATAGATTTTGTCCGGGGTTTGATTGAAATGTGTATTTACAGGAAGTATAATCAAAACTTGGCCTAAAGAATTAAAAGTTTTAAACAAAGAGCTACTTACATATATGCATATTTACATTACAGAGATTCCGGAAGACTATACCGTTGAATTAGCGCATGTTTTCTGAGTTTACCATCCATATGTGATTGTAGTATATATGTTACCCGACAAACCGGATTTTCGGATAAACTAGTTTTTCCTAGGCCAAATCAGTTTATCCTAAGAGCGATAGGATGAACTAGTTGATCCTGAAATAAATTAATTATGATTAGGAAAAACTAATTTGTTCTAGTATAAACTGCTGGCGGATTTCTGAAATGAATTTGATATATCTGCGTACAAAAATTTTTATTGGAAGAAGTGGACGGAAACATTGAACTTTTGTTAAGAAGCGCAGCATTCAAACATTCAGTTGGAACAGGCCAAATTTTCTTTAAGTGCTATTGCACCAAGAAGTGTACGTCAAATCGATGCCTTTGCAAGAAAAATAACGTTCTCTGCAACTCGAAATGCCGCAATAATTTAACACGTAATAACAAGTAAATAATAAACGTTATTAAACATGTTTGTAATAGTAGTATTTTAGTATTTTCTTCAATTAGTAATAAGAACATTACTTTTGTGAAGAGACTGTATGCAGACTAGGACAAATCAATTTTGCCCAATCACACTTAATTGATTTTACGACAAATTAGTTTAGACTAAGATAAACTAGTTCATCCTATCGGTCTTCGGATACACTGATTTGACCTAGGAAAAACTAGTTTATCCTAATATCGGGTTGGTCCGGTAACATATATATCTACATATTAACAATCAGTGGACATTTGTCTATTATATGTGAGTAAAATTTTTCGGTTTGTCCTTTTATGACTTGAATTTAATATCGGGTTATTTTAAATTTTGCTTGTATCCCTACAGGTTGCACTCATAAATACCCTCAAAAACTTGTTTCTTATACTTTGGAGAAAATTAAGTTGTGTATTTGATGCCGAACTGAAAACCGCACACCCATGAAGTAATACCGACCTAAAATCTGTTTATATATTAGTAAATTGATGGACGTATGTAGTTTACTAGTTAGGCATACTAACGGATAGAGGGTTCTCAGCATACTGCTAGCTTTGATGCGAATCATCTTAATGTGGTTCTGAAATGTCAGTTGTTTATCTATCGTAATTCTCAGGTATCTAGTGATTTTAGTCTCTTGAATTGTCGAGTTTTTGACTGCGAGGGGCATTGAAATATTGATTTTATGCATATTTTGAGAAATTGACTGTACAGCTTAGGAAATCTGTTTTATCCGCATTTATGGCTATTTTATTTTCTTCGAAGGACGGAATGATTTTTGTGGATATCTACTTGTCTACAAGCTACCTCAGATTAAGCTGCTGAATTGTCTGATACGAGTAGAATAATCACTTCCGGTGATAATGAAGTTTCTTGCGGAACACTTGCGTTCAAATTAATACTCCTGGAGTTATTGCGATTAATTCTTATAGAAAACTTTCTTGAGGACAAGTATGAGCCGATCGGACTTACTAGATTTGAGGGAAAACCGAAGTTTGCTAACTTTTCTGTTAGTTTGTCTGTCCAGACTTTATCAAAAGCTTTTTCAATATCTTCTTACAAAGTCATTACTGCAGTTTTGCTATTTGCTCTATTGGTTCGTAGCCTGTTCGGAACCAAAATTGTTCACTAGGTAATATTTAGGGTTTCCGTCCTCTATAAGTAATATGCATGATATTAACCGGTCTATCAATCACTTTGACGATTTTATTAAAATTAAAGGAAGTGGCAGATGAGGATTTTTGTTGGGTATTATTATCGGGCATATTATTACCTTCAATGATACCGGGTAGTACAGTAATCAGACTACAGCGTTAACAGTATTTGTAAACTGTATAATGGCTTTGTTAGTCTACAAGGTAGATGTTCTACCACCTAACCAAAGAAACTGATAGCCGTAGTTTCCAAAACCAGAAATTATATTTTGGGACCCATTATCGGGGGCCTTGTTCATGACTCCAAGTCGCACGTTGTTTCTGCTTAATTATTGATTATTTTTACTTTTACCTGTGCCACACGTACATCTGGGTAAGCACAATATTTTAAGCAACTATTATTAATTAAGTATATTCCCAGATCATGTTCTGTGTATGATGAAGTATGCTTTCAACCCCTCATACTGTTATTGCTGAGTTTTCATATTTTAGTCATATTAGCAAATTTCCCCGAAATAATTGTAAAGTCTGGTTTAATTGGAGCAAGCTGTTCATTCACTAAAACATGAACGCATAAAGTGGGTAGACCAATTTTTGTGGGAAAAGTTTGATTCGACAACAAAGAATGAGAAAACGTGTTTTTTTTGGGATTCAAACGAAAGTATTGACAGGAACGCGAAAACTTTATATATAAGTTTTTTATGTATCGATGAGGCATACAAAACGAGACCACACGAAAAAGATCCGACTAATAGCAAAAAAGTTATGGCTGAAAAACGACGCAAAATGCAGGTTTTGTCACTTGTTGGTAATGCGACGATAATTTTACGCAACTACTTGAAATTATTCAAACGCGTAGGAGTATTTTCGTCTAATATGATTAGGTTATTCAGTTCTATTCAAAAAATGGTTAAATAATGACTAAAAGAGCCTAAGTGTTCTCAGTTCCTGCCTACGGTAGATTACGGAACCTTCGTCATGCTAGAGAACAAAATTTCAATAACCCAAATCCAAATTCCATTTATTGTTGATTTCTTTTGGGGTCAAAGGTGTTAATTGTTGTATGTGGTATATTGTTACAAAGACGAAAAGCAAACAGAAATCAGTACAACGTATATACAAATTGGACCCAATTTCTAACACGTTTTCGTTTCAGGTGTGTTACGCCGTGTGCCACATGATAGGCATGTCCTCAGCCTGTTCAAACCCCGTCCTTTACGGCTGCCTCAATGAGAACTTCTGGAAGGAGTTCAAGGACATCCTTTGCATCGAGTCCCTGAAGGAATCCAGTTCTTCAGAGGGACAAAGAATATCTCAGAGGAAACAGCCAAACAGATCGCACAGTCGTAGCGGGAAGCCTGACATAGTGGCGGCAACCACAGACTATCAGCCTTGTAACACTGTGAGCACGGATATGACCGTATTGACAAAGTGCTAGCTATTAAGGGGCTTCGTCCCTCATTGCAGATCAAATGGAGGGGTCGTGGCCAATCAAAATGTGTGAACTGTAACAAATTTACATTACGGCGCTACAAGCATATACTTACGTTAGGACCTGTTTAAGGAAGATGGATAGACATTAATGTTATAGATTACAGGTAAGACGTCCAGAGGTGGTGCGTTTATACAATATAGGGGTAATCAACTGTGGATCAGCATCACAATAAAAAATAGCTTTAATGTTGATACAAACATAGTTTCAAAACTGGACAGCATAGTGCAGTGAAAGCTTTATTTTTGGAGAGCAGGCATGGTCAAAGAGTTGCTACCAAGCTTTATAGAGGTATCCTTAATTTTATTAAATATGCATCCCATATTAACATGCTCATTCCTTTTTTGTCTTGCTTATTGAAAGAATAATTGCCAGCTTTAAAATTTCTCAACCAGGATGTATGAAGTGTCAGAACTAACTTTGAACAATAAATATAAATAATGATGAGTAAAATAATAATGCGGAGAATGGTGGTCAAAGATGGCTGAAACTGTTTTTTGCCATTATTCCTCAAACTGAGCCTTTTACGTGATAATGTTTTATAAGGAAGTCGCATCGTTCTTTATTAGACCAAGTCGGCATTAATCAATAAATTAATAAAAAGGTTAAAGCTTTTGGATATATGAGTATGTGTTAGTGTATGTTATTTTTCCAAAAAAGAACATTTTCGTACACTGCCTAGTAGTACGAGTACAACAATTTTATGTACAGTGTGAGAAAAAGTGTAACTTTCCGCTAAATTTGTTGAAATGTCACATAGGTAGTTTTGATCATAGCGATCAAAGGTGCAATGGGTGCCACCTCCTTGACACCCCTCCTCTACCCCCTACGGAACCCAAATGTCCCCAAGTACTACTGAAAGATATGAGAGCACAACGTAAACAATGTACGTCTTGAGATAATATTTTCAGATAAGAAGGAAAACATACTGTTGCTAAGATTTCTCAGAGACTGACCAATGGTGCACTGGAAAGTTATGGAATAAGTCAAGTCAATTTTTTTAAGTGAAGCATCATATTTGGCAGAGACATGTCTTATTTTGACTGACTGAATGGAAATGGGTCTTGCTTTAACTGGTCGAACAGTCTCTAAAGTCACCCTACTATACATGTACAGGTTATGTTCTATGCACAGAGAGAAGGTTGGAGGTCCTCCCGTATCGTTTTGTCCATTTTCCTGGTAAAAAGTAAGATTTACGACTCTTAAAAATTTACCTGACTTTGACCATAACCTTCAAGGTGACTGTTAAGGTCAAATCCATGATTACCGTTGGCGAGTCTTTGAGCAATCCTAGCAACAGTATGTTTAACTTACTCTGATGCCTGTTGACAACACTTATGCTGTTAAAAGTTGCCTCATCGCTAAAAAGAACCTTATCCCACTTTATTTAGCATTATTCTAGTAAACTCCATTCGAGCTGCGAAATCCTGAGGACGAAGGCCTTGATGCAAGCATAGGTGGTATGTTTTGTACCTATGCTTGTGAATAATCCTTTCGACAGAAGTTCTGCATATATCAGTTTCTGCCCCAATCTGCCGTGCACTTAAATGGGGATTTTCCTGCAACTTTAATAGAACCCCCAACTGGTTAGCCTCATTGGTGAAACTTGGATTATTTATACTTTTTTGCTATATTATTAGGGTACCGTTGCTTATAAATGCGAGATGCTAGGAAACTATTTCTTTGAAGTTCGCCCAAAAAAACGTCATATTCACCATTTCTTCTTTAGAAAAATTCAGTTTTAAACACGTTTTCATTATAATGCTCACAAAGCTCATTCTGACAGTTTGTAAATAATCAACAATTTATTTGTTTCCAAGGATGATGCGATATTTTAGGGAATTAAGCCGTTCAATAAAAGGCGTGCTAATAACCGAAAAAATAGCCGTAAAATTCCTTGTGTCAAGTATCAAAAACGCTTTTAAATAATTGAATCCAAACTTGCACAAATATACAGGGTGATGCATTTGAAATTTTTGAGAAAAACTACATTTTGCGTTTTTGACCACCCTGTATGAGCAAAAATGAAAATTCGAAAAAGTAACAAACAAGATAAGAGCTGAGGTGTGTAAGTTTCTTTTTATACAAAATTCAGCACTGCAAATTTCAAAATGGCGGATTGAGGGGTTGCCGATGTGGGGGGTATTGCTAGACAAATATATAATAAAATTTGAGGCATTTCATTTGAAAAATCTCAACTTTGATATGCAGGTCAAAAGTGGGAGACCCTGTTTAATGGCCAATATTTTAGAAATATGCAATCAAATGTCATGTATAACATCCCGTAAATAGATTTTCCCAAAATGTATTTGTTTATGAGTAATATTCCGTCCACAGATGGATGGGCCACCCTGTATAAGAGAGTGTTAGTCGACAATATTATATTATGATCCATAAATACGTTATATTTTGGTGAATCTGGTACCATATATAGAACTCACCTACACAGTATGTCTGAAAAGTTCCCGAACTAAAATCATAAAAATTACAAACTTAAAGATAAACGAATTTATTCACATGGGCCTTCTATATAGGAACCTTCTCTATCAATACACTCGTTACAGCGCCGGTAGAGTGCGTCAAACGCCGTGGAGAATTCATTTTCTGAGATTGCTTTCAACTCCTCGGTACAAACCTTCTGGATAGACGAAATGTCGTCAAAAAGTCGTCCTGTCACCTTCAGTTTCAGCTTGGGGAACAAAAAATAGTCGGCTGGTGTCAGATCAGGTGAATAGGGTGGATGGCATAAGACGGTGATTTTATTAGTCGCGAAGTAACGCGTCAGAAGGGTCGCAGTGTGAGCCGGCACAGAGTCCAGTTGCCCGGATCCCGGTACTCGGGCTGGATGCGACGAATGCGGCGCATCAGGCGTTTCATACCTCCAAATAGCAGGTAGAATTTATACTTTGCCGGAACGAATTTATGGTGAATCACGCCCTTTGAATCAAAAAATGCGATCAACATTGTTTTTACTTTCGACTTTTGCGCCCGACTTTCGATGGCCTTTGTACACCTGGACTCAACCAAGCAGCGGATTGACGTTTTGTTTGAGGATCGTACATGAAAGACCAGCTTTCGTCGCCCATTACAATTGTAAAAGAAATTTAAGACAAACGCAAAACTTTATCGCACTTCTTTGTTCCATGTCGCGGACTTGCACAAGGTCACATGGACACAGTTTACATTTTTATTACTTGTGTTTGATAAGAAAAAAACTAAGATTTCAATAGTTGGGCCAGCTGAAGTGGGAAGGGGCTCGTAAGCTAGAACAATACGGGAAAAAGGAAATTTATAGTTTTTGGACAACCAAGGGCTACATTTGGATATTAATAAAATGGCCGACATTGAGCCTGACTATTACAGGTCTACATACCCATAACAATCTTATAAAATTTCACTATGATCTACCCAGACGTTTTTCTTTTTCAAATTAAAAACCTTGCACATTTTCCTAACAAGAAGCGTTCAAATTTATGAATACGATCTTTATCAAAGATTTTAACGAATTTTGTGAGAAAATGTGGAAAAAGCTCGAAAAAGTTGCTTTCACTTTAAAAAAAATTTGCGACAATAAACGGGATACCTGATTTTTTAAATTTTGAACGTTTAATACAAAAAAAACGTCATAGGGTTATTGTACGTATATGAAGCTGTAAGAAACATGCCTGACATGAGCCCTTTTGTCAATATTTGAAATTGATCTCTTGATTTGACAATAACCATAAATTGTCCCTTTTTCTGTTGTTTTAGCCCATAGGCAGCAGCGGTGGCCGCAGTAGTAGTCTCTTCGGTCTCCTGATCAGCCGCCGTGCGCTGTGCGGGTTCGAATCCCGTCCCAAGAGAAATTTTTCTGGTTGTTGGAATATAAAAAAAATATGAAGGACGACAATATTTTCCATAAATGATAATTGATCTTTCTAGAGAACCCACTATTTCAGCTTTTGAAAGCATCGTTAGATTTTCTGTTCTATGATGAGTTCCTGAGATATCGATAATAAAAAAATGGATGGTCATATCGAGATTTTGGAAAAAGAAAATTGAAAATAGTCTACGGAGTCCACGCTATGCTTAAGTCTAAAACATTTTCCAACGTCACTGATCTAAATAGAATAATAAAAAGATGCTATTTATTCTTCACACTGATTTTTCGGCTTCGTAGGACCTGCAACTTCAAAAATTGTTTGACTAGAAAACACCGAAAACTTGACAATTTAGGCTTTCGAATGCTTCTTCTGGAACCTTAATACAATCATTTTTTGATCAGGTAGAATCATTAAAAATTTATAACTTTTATTTGCTCCCTTAATTTGTTCCAGTGGTGTATATGAAACCATATTCAAATGGTATTCAGGTAATCTTACTATCTTGCACTGATTAATACTGCGCGATCGAGATCAGTTGTTTGCATGTTTTGTTAGGGAGTAGTTGAACTAAGAGTTGAAATTGTCATGTTTGGCAGGGGCTACTTTCACACGAATGAATGCGGTCTGAGTAACAAAAACCAGTTTGGTGTTACCTATTGAGGATACTTCAATTAATGGAGTTACAGATCTGAGCACGGTATGTGATTTGACAAATAAGGCAGTAAAGTTTAACAGATTGAACCTCATAATGATGTGTTGCCATTTCTGCCACCTATGAGAGCCGGTTGTGTAATAGGACTAATAAGATGACGTTTGAAAGGTTTTGTAACATTCACTAGTACTGAATCAATATATCTCTAATATAAAATTATCGATTAAACAGATAAAACTGGCAGCGAAGGGTTAAATTTTCAGGATCCCGTCGGTGACGATATCCACAAATAGTGTGTCACACCAGAGCCACTCGTATCGCTGCCTTCACAGATCCTACTACTCCCACCGCTGGGAAATGGAGCATACGATAAATTTGTTAGAGTAAAGTGAGCTTTTACCGTCAACGAATGTTTAACGGAAAGAAAGGGGAGAGGGATCTATGTATAAAAAAACAAAGAGTCGATATATTCCAGTATGAACAGTTAGTTAAGGTTCTTTTCAGTTGTGAATATTCATCAATATGTTATGAGGTCCCACAGGACGAGTGTGTATAAATGAAAAAAATACGATATACAAGTGCTACATTTAAGCTTACATTAACATCCGACATTCTTTTCTTTTTGTCTATTGGACTGTTCTCATTAAGTTACTACTCGAAACCACCACTAAATCGAAGTTTATACTCCTCTTGATCGAAAAAATACATCAGTGTCACGCATATGCTTGCGTATAGTACCTGACACAAGGCTTTGAAATGCTGAAGATCATATGCTGCTACAATCTGTATAGCAGTTCTTTCCCAGGTACCTATAAGTACATTTGTTTACTATGAAAAAGGCGACGAACGCCTAGCTTTGCCGTAAAGGCATTCTTCACAAGCATACGGCACGCATAT